ACGGCAGAGAGCCGTGACAGGATCGAGAGGTGAGCGAACGCCAGTATGTGTTCGCTCACCTCCCGATCTACTGAGCCGACCTGTGACAGTCTCATTGTCACAGGTCGGCTAGAACTATGAGGTGAGTGAAAAGCACTCACCTCATAGTTCTCATTTAAGGAAATAAGCTATTTATTTTTTGCACTGCTGACTGACATGCTTGATAATTCCCTTACATCTAAATATGATGTCAAAACACTGCTGAGAACATGCTAAAATTAAATAAATAAAGTTGTATATGGCACTCTTTCTCTGTGGTGACTATTGATTTGTAAACTTTTCATTGTGTTTTTCTTTTACCTGTAATATTGTTTTTTGTCATGTTAACTATTTGCTGAATTTACTGTGTCTGAAGGAACACAGGAAACACATGCTTTTATTCTTTGCATGCTTTCATTGATTAGAATGGGGTATAAAAGTGCTGGATAATGTGGGCAGTTTCATTTGTCATACTTCCTATTCTGCTTCACTGCAACTTTTCTATTTATGTCATATTTTAGATCTATATAACTGTTCTTCTGGACTGATGAGTTTCTTTTAGTTTTCCTTTTTTTTTCCCAAAAGGTTTCCTTTTTGTACCTTTTTATGTACGTATTTAACACCTTTCCTATACTTTTTTATAGTCGGATGTATTTTGAAGTCTTTGCCTTGGGTAGAAATTAACTGTGTCCCACCTCTAGTATTTTTTGGTAGATTGAAAGCTGCTGGGTATTAAGATCTGTTGTGAAGTGGACATGAGCTCCATTTAGAGTTGCCAGCAATATATGCAAAGGTGTGATGAGTTATGGCATTTCTCTTTGAAATGAAGCAAGAGAGATATGTACATTCCAGCAGCCTTAGGGTCTTCAGTGACCTGGTGAACTAATGAAGAAATTCACCAGACCGAATTCTCTGTAACTATAATGCACTGCCTGGCCCTTAAACTTAGGTCAGCTGGGTTAGAAGGGCCAATCAGGGGGGCTTTTGGATGAGCCAGCTCTTCACGATAAAAGGATGAGGTCACACCAGCCATATTGACAATGTCTTTTAGCTGTGATGGGGAAAGCATAGGGAGTGCTGCTGATAAAGTGCATAATTAGATTAGTGTAGGGCGTGTAGGCACTGGCAGGTCTGCTAAAGTTAATGGAAACCCTTACTGAATTCCCTGAAGGTAGCAAAAGGCAGTTTATATTGTTACAGCTTAATTCTGCTGCTGTCCTGCAGCCTCATTACAGTCTGTACCTGTCTACATGCACTACAGGGATAACAGACTGCCTGTGTTTTTTCACAGGGCATATTACCTATTCATTGCGGGCTGCAATTGTTTTTTCACATGCAATTTTTTTAAA